TGTGGTTGTCATTGTTGTTTGGCAGGCCCGGGCTGGATTCAAACTTGCCAGCTTCGGCAACCATAGCCACTTGAGCTACAGGTGCCAAGCCTAACCTTAAGATTGTGATACTCCATATCATCAATATGTACTCAGTATCTTAATGACATTTTTTCACATGAAGCCTTTGTAGCGTGCTGTGTAGTTGAGATGTATAACACATTTCCATTTGGTTTTGGTACTATGTGGTCACAGGTGGCTTGTGACTGCCATGACAACAGCAAAGGTCTGGCTATATCCCTCCCCCACAGATCCTCCCTTGCCTTAGCAGGCTGATGGCTGGGGAGGACATAGCTCCTTTCCCTTAAGTCCTGAGGGAGAATGTGATGCTGAGACACAGTTTGCTGGGTCATCTGGCTTCCTGGGGCCTCACGTTGGTGGGGACACAGGCTTCTACTGGCTGACAGTTTTCCCACCCAAAAAAGCCATCTAATCTCTGGGCTTCAGGAAGACACTGACTACCCTATTGGCACAAAATAAGCATAAGCTCATTCTCTAGTCTCTGCTGGCTAAACCCTTAATCCTGCTTGTGATGGAAGCTAGGGCCAACCAGAACTTGGCATCCATATCAAACTCATAACAATTTGAATTTGAATTAGGGCAATCCCACTGCCCTAATCTGCCTGCTCTTTGGGGAGACAGTACTATTTTATTACATCCTTATGATTACTTTTCATGGGAGAAATGAGCGAAGAACAGCTCTGGTCAATGGAGAACACATATGGGAGGAACCTGCTCACACGCCCAGTCAGCAACTTGTGGTAACTGTAATCTGTGCACCAGAAGGAGGACACTTAGCAATTAGAGCTTTACAAATATCAATCAGGCAAAAGATTTCCCCAGCAGAGAATCTGCACAATGTCCTGTTCACCCCCAGGGAAGGAAGCCTATTACAGTAATGGTGACAGTTCTTGAATCTAATGGTTAATAAGCTGTTCTATTCTCTGCAGAGCTGCTATTTCATTTCTGCTAGAGATTTTATTTCAAAATTAAGTGATAAAGAATACTCCAGCTTTAAGTTTGGGCTTGATCATAATACAATTAAGCCTTATTTCACCAGAATATACAAAAAAGATATTTACTTTAAAAACAATTTACAACAAAAGGTGTGTCCTGCCCTGATAGATGCTACTGAGATGGGAGATTCTGATGGTAAGACAAGGTGGCGGGGCATACAAGCCATGCAGAGAAAGGATGTCTTGAAGTCCTGCCAACTGTGCTGGCCTCCTGACTCTGGGTTCTGGGAGGACTTCCCCATATAACTCCAGCAACCTTCGGCCTGTAAATGTCAGAGAGGACGGAACCTCAAGGGAAATTGTGGAATGAGGTGTGAAGGTTTGCTCTGAAAGTCAATTCCCCACATCCTCCTGGATTGTTCAAAGCCCTCTCTGGTCATATGACCCTCAAATTCACCCTCCTCAACCCCAAAAAAAGGTAACATGCAAAGCAGCACTGGGACATGTGTTACTGCAGGCAGGCAGACTGAAGCATCTCTCTTGAGTTGTGTGGAAAAGTACTATGAGAGAGTTCTGTGCTGGCTGGGCTGGGGTACTGAAGAGTCACCTCCATCAGCCCCTGAGAGGCATGCTTGTCTCAGATTCCCTGCACATACCCCTGGGGCTCTCTAATTCTAGGCTCTGTGCCAGGTGTTCTCAGCAAGCTCTGTGTGGGGGCTATTAGCTAAATATTATTTGTAAAGTGACCCCATTTTAGAGATGGGACAGAAACAATGAGTATCATCACTAGGCTAACCTCTGAGAACATTTCTAGCTCTGAACACATTCTACTTAACTGGTCACCCACAAGACTCCCATTCCTCCACCATATAAACCACAATATGAAGGAACTAAAGATGCCAGAGAGAAGCAGCCAGTTTCATTCTAAGGCACAAGAGGCCAAAATCTCCAGATTGAGCCAGCCTTAGGAAGTAGCGGGCACATACGCTCAAGAGGACGGGTCTCTGGATCCAGCCCTGCCCCAGACTAGCTATTTACCGCAGCTCCCGCTGGTCAGGTGGCCGTGTACCTTTACCAGCCTTTACCTGTCCACTAACAGGTCATAATGAAGGTGGCACATTTCACCACACAGGCCACTCCATCTGGTCCTAATAAGAAAAGCCACGCAGGGAAAATTTGGATCATGCTATTTACAGACACCTAGGGAAAAGACTAATGAAATAAAGGATCTAACCACTGACGGGCTCCTCTAAGTGTGTGGAAAGAAGAGCACCTATTAGAGGCCCTCTTGCTCTACTTGGCTCTGAAATCCTCTGTGCTGTGTGGGCGGGAGGAAGGGACCCTGTGTATGTCTTCCTATGGACCTTCTGAAAGCCTAAGTTGCTTCAAGGAGGATTTTGTTCATGTCAGCTCCCACCTGAAACAGGAGGCTGGTTTTGGAAGCCATGGACATTAGAAAGGGTGGGGAGAACTAAGTTCCTCCATTTATCTCAACCAAACTACCACACGTGGAGGAGTATCTGTATTTGTTGCAAGGTACAAACTAGTTTTTTTTTTTGTTGTTGTTGTTTTTTAAAGAGATAGGGCTACTTTTGAATCCAGGCTAGAGCTAGTGTGGTATGATCATAGCTCATTGTAAGCTCAAACTCCTGGGCTCAAGCAGTCCCATCTTGGCCTCCTGAGTAGTTGGGACTACAGGTGTGTGCTACCACAACTAGTTTTTTTTTTTTTTTTTGGAGACAGAGCTTCAAGCTGTCCCCCTGGGTAGAGTGCCATGGCATCACAACTCACAGCAACCTCCAACTCCTGGGCTCAAGTGAATCTCCTGCCTCCGCCTCCCAAGTAGCTGGGACCACAGGCGCCTGCCACAACGCCCAGCTATTTTTTGGTTGAAGCCATCATTGTTGTTTGGCGGGCTTTGGAGACAGAGCTTCAAGCTGTCCCCCTGGGTAGAGTGCCATGGCATCACAACTCACAGCAACCTCCAACTCCTGGGCTCAAGTGAATCTCCTGCCTCCGCCTCCCAAGTAGCTGGGACCACAGGCGCCTGCCACAACGCCCAGCTATTTTTTTGGTTGAAGCCATCATTGTTGTTTGGCGGGCCCAGGCTGGATTTGATCCCGCCACCTTAGGTGTATGTGGCTGGTGCGTTAGCTACTTGAGCCACAGGTGCCGAGCCCCACACCCAGTTTTTAAATTTTTTGGTAGAGATGGGGGTTTCACTATGTTGCCCTGGCTGGTCCCAAACTCCTGGGCTCAAGTAATCCTCCAGCCTCAACCACCCAAAGTGCTGGGCGTATCGGTGTGAGCCACTGTATCCAGCCAGCTATTTTTGTGAGATCTAAATCTTATGGTGTTCTTTAAAAAAACAAACAAAAACAGCCTTGTTGTCACCCCAGTAATCTTTAGGGCTTAAAATCTACTCGGTGCTAGGGAACGAAACCCTGGTCTGGTACTGCTCCTGTGATGGCAGGTCTGAGGAAGTCAGTTTAAGAACTGCAGATATGACAAAGTCCTCTGCTTTTGGCATCTTGAAGTCAAGATAAAAAATGGAGACACTTTAGCACTGGAGGCTATGCTAACACAACACTCCAAAGGATAACATAGAGTAGGGAAACTTGTCCTCTTCTGGAGTCCATCCCCTGGAGAACACTGGGAGGCAGAGCACAGGGCTCAGCAGGCTGCCCACCTAGAGGGGAGGCAGCCGGGCGGGCCTGGATGTGTCATGAAACAGCAGGAAAGTGACAGTTAAGAAGGAGTGCCCTGGTAAAGAGCTGCCTTGGGCTAGCTCAGCCTTACCTCCCACCACCTCTGGCAGGGACCTATAGGTGACTGAAATTCTTGCCTTGAAGCATTCGAGGAAGCAGGTGCCAGGGTGCTGTTCAGATCAGCTATATCTGTTGAGAGTGAAGGACATTCACAGCAGAAAGACATAAATAGTGGATTCTTCCCACCCCAAATGGGATGTCTTCCCAATGCCCTAAATAAGCAGCTCTCTGCATTGGAGCCCAAAGGTCTGGTGTCTAAGGTAAGATAACTATTCAATAGCCAGCACAAAGCCTCCAACAAACTCTATTCAAGATAAAGAGTAGGAAAACAACACAATCTACCCAGGAAAAGAGCTCCTATAGAAAGAAACCTGCCAGCTGTTTTCTCCACTCTCCCAGCTGTTGGCTAGGTGGCTGGTGATTATCAAGATGCCCAACATTCTGGATGGTGGATCTATATGAGCCAAAGCCAGCTCCTAGCCTAGGATGACTTCCAAATGTCAGCAGAAGCCTTATACAGCTTAGCTTAAAAGTCGATCAAGTCCTCCTGACAGACTGGATTCAGCATAGGCAAGGATCACATAAAACAATATCTGTGATACTCAGAACAGACATTTCACTGAGCTAATTATGAGAAACTCAGAATCAATAATAAGAGGTAGCAATTCCTGTGGCTGTTTGTTCTAGAAACATTAACAAGCATTTAAGTGCTTTTCTTTTTTGGTTCACTGAGGTTTTTTTTTTAAGCTTAGATGTGACAACAACTATTGTAAAATTATCTACATTTACAATTCATTCACATGTTTATTTAATGTCAATATACAGAGGACAACCCCAAAGTACTTCAGATTATCAAGTATGTTGTAAGTCTGGTTAGTTATGACAGTGACAAGGGAACAGCTAAAAAACAAAGCAGTGAAACAGAAACATGATTTTCTTAAAAGTATAAAGTGACAATACTGATATTAAAGCTTCAGTAATTATTGCAACATTTAATTTAGCAATATTCATGTTAAGAAGGCTCTTCATCAAATTTATTCAAGTTGTCAAGAAATTAGATAAAAAATGTAAAAAAGGAAATACATGTGCATTTTACTTTTGATTTTTCACGAAAGGTAAATATCCATACAATTTTATACAGTGTCACCTAACGAAACAATCTTTAATAAACTCAGGTATACAGAAATCATAAAAATGTAGGAAATAGTTTCTTTACATTTTTAAACTGAGAGACAGCAATTTAACCATGACACAAAGTTCGTGTAACAGATGCAGCAATGAATAAAAAACCAACATTGATGGGACAGCTTCCCTCTATTGGAGGGACAGGTTCTTACAATTTTTAACTTGGAATCTTGAGTTTCAAAGGTAACAGTTAATATAAGTGCTTTTAAATGGTGAGCCACAGACTTTACTTTGGCCAGATCAATGTTTCCTCTCTTTGGGACATCACTGGAGCCAGTGTGCTGAGCATCTTATCAACCTAAACCAACAATGTGACAGTCCCAATCAGCCCAAGGCAAATGGCACACTTTGGAAGGAAAGGCCCTTGTCTGGCTCCCAGGTCAGTAGACATATCAACTTTCACCTTTGTAAATGAGACCAGGCCAGAGGCAATGTCTCCAAGTCACCTGTTAGGCCTATACACACATGCAGAAGTTCTCACAGCTGAAGAGTGAGACTACCACAATGGACACACCCATCACAATGGTGCCAATTGGACATTCGGAGGCCAACTGCTCCCTTCAGCCAACCAGTATTGGAGGCAGTACAAGGGCCACTGACTGACTCCTTCAGTCAAACCCAGAGACCATGATACGAGATGCTGCACCCCATCTATCTTTCACCGGAAAACGCACAGTTGAATTCGGCTTAGAGTTCTTTCTCGGACGCCAGATAAGCAAGATGCAACATCTGGGTTTTCCAAAGGATTCCTTCTCCAGCCCTCCCTGATTCTTTGGCTTTTCCTCCTCACACTTTGAGCTTGCTCAATAAAAAAATAAAACCTCTTCCTCCCCAAAAAGAGGTGACAAGGACCTTGTTCTCAGGCGCAGACATGTGATAAGGCAATTTTACCAACTTCAGCAAAAATCTAATACTTTAATTTTTTTTTAATATCTAAGATGCACCAGAGGAAGTAGGAGACCTGGGGAGAAGAGGCTGCCTGGCTATCTGCCAACTGGGACTGGGTGTTAAACTATATGGAGGAGAATATGGAACCCCATCAAAACTGGTCCGATTTTTAGGGAGCGTCATGGCACTTTATTTCTTGCAATTTCTGAATATTTTGAGACAAGAAACATTGTTATTTCTTTCTGTTTTTCTACCCCTCCATTGTTCCATCTTAAGGCTTAGTCCCAAGCTCAGGGTTTGCAGAACATTTCTAAACCGCTAAGAGGTTCAATCACAAAAGACAGATTAAGATTCTTTACCACTATTAAATTTAGACCCCAAAGTTACTGGCTATTTTTAAAGTGCTTGCCTACTCCCTCTTACATATTTGCTTTTGGAAGAAGGCATAGTTTTACAAAGGCTCCCTTTTCCAGACCTCTTGGCAGGTTTTAATTCCTCTGTTCCCAAACAAGAAGAAAGCCACAGACAAGCTTTTGCCAGTAGTGTGCAGAAACCTTGTCAAAGTCACAGCACAGACCTGGCTTCTGGAATCAATGGAATGTTTAAAAGAAGCAAGCCAGAGCAGGACATATAGACAGGCTCCCCCACTGCCCTGCTCTGACGGCTCCTGATGCTGCACAAGGGGGCTAAGTTTGCCCACTTGCCAGGAAGGACAAGACTCCCGTGCCTGGTCTGTGCATTTCATCTCTGTGCTCAGTGCACATTTGAACAGCAGTGCCCACTCAGTGGGTGATAGCCTCTGCTTGCTAACTGCTGTGTTTTATTCCAGAGGTTAGGTCAGAAAAGATAATCTTGATCATGGTATCATTTAAGCTGAAAAACCTTGAAAAATTTCAATAAGGAAGCTCAAAGTTTGGTGAGAAAACTATAACAATGCTCCCCCAATTTCTCTTAGTGGCTATCATGGAAGCAGTGTGGCACTGTACTTTACACATCTGAGATCAGGAATCCTCATGGCTGCCCCTTCTCAGTCCCTCCCCAGGTTTGCAGAAGCCATTACTCAGAAGCATGTCCAAGGGGGGAGCCCTGCCCGCCCCTCTCCAGTGCCCTCTTCTCCTCAAGTTGTCAGGCACCTTTAGTTCTGGTCTTGGAGAACACCTCGCATTCTGTCCTCCTGCCTGCAGAAGTGCTCTGCCGGCTGTCAAAGAAAGGGGGCAGGAATCAGAGGGGCAGAGTGGACATGGAGCAGCAGCATCCTACAGTGCCCTAGCTCCTAGGGGCTAGGTCAGCCAGCTAAGGACAGCCTCTTCCCAGGGCTGACACCTGACTCTCAGTTGGCACTGAACCGAGCAAGGGGTGCCTCAGGGAGAAGTTAGAAGAAAAAGATTGTGACCAAGCCCCAGATCAAAAACTGTGGCATTATCATGGTTTTTAAAGCTAGAGTTGGGGGTAGACATAGACATATAGAGGCTTCTATTAGCACACTGCAGAGCTGTTTTTAAAGGAAACAATAATCTTCCTCTTGCCTCTTCCAACCCCACTCCCATCAACAGACTCCTAAGTCACCCTGTCAGTGCACCTCTGTGATTTTGCCTTCATTCCAGCTGGTGTAGCTGCTAATGTTAAATGGGGTGGGAGGGAGAAGAAATCAGAAAATGCCCAGTAGTCGCGTTGGTTACACGAGTACATGCACCCACAGTTCCCTGCCAGTGGGCTCGGAGTTGAATCATCACCATCAATGTTCTTTACCATCAATTTTCACTATCAATGCTACTTACCTGTGATCACCTATTCTCCACTTAGGCCAAATACTAAGTCCTGAATTTTGAAACTGCATACTCAATGCCTCAAAGGCATTTGAAACTGAATTTCTAAAACTATGTAGGTGCATAAAATTGCACATGGAGTGTTCATTACTAATCTTTCCACCTGGCAGCCCAATTTGGCTTCCAAAGTTGAAACAGTCCACAAGGATGGCTGTCTTTGTTACCTTAAGTTAACCTTTTAGGAACAAAGAATCATATTTTAAAGGTAACTAGGACATTAACATTCCCTCAGAGCAGTGCTCAGGGACATGAAATGCATAAACTGAGGTGAGATGCCCCTAGGAGGCTGCCATGATCCCATTTAACAGAAACCATTGCATTAAGGAGCACGATGGACACAGGGTAGACAGATGTGGCCACATTAGGAAGTGGGAAGCAAGCCTGGGACCCAGCCTGGCTTCCTGGAGGTGGCATTGAGAGCAGAGGAAGCTACTCTGTTCCATCTACCAGAGTCTTTCCACTGCAAAGAAGTCAGTTATCAAGTCTTCGATTTGCTGAGTCGCATTCACTACTCACACCAGTATAAATTATCATTATTTTTGTATTTAATTACAAAGGTGTGCAAAACAGAAAAACAGACCTAAATGCCCCAAGTTAACAAGATAATTACCATCTTGACATAAAATATATATAGCTCAAAGATCCATCTCATCCATTGTGAAAACTGGAATTTGAAAAGAAAACTCCCTACAGTTGTAAGGATCGTAAGAGTTAGAACCAAAATATTGCCGTTTCCTGTGGAAGCAGCATAGCCTTCTGGCCGCGGAGGAGTCCACACAGCACCACTCCTTAGCGGCCACAGGCCTCCAGGGTCCCCAGGGAAGGTGCTGGGGTGGGAGCCACTGAGGATGAAGCCTGAGCACGAGGCCAGCAGCAGCCTCCCAAGAGTAACCCCAGAATCACAACTGCCATCTGAGAACAAGAAAAGGGGAAATCTGCACTTGTGCTCCCCTCTAGGAGTGAAACTAAACCCAAGCAGAGTGCCACAGAAGGCACTCTGAAGCTTGGGTGACTCTAACAGTCTAAAGAAAATGAAGTCTGCCCACAGCCTAAAGTCACATGCCTTTCTGACTCCAAACCCCCCACCCCCGCAGCCCCCCAAAACTCCTTTTCCCCTGTTGGGAGAACACATAAGCAAAGCACATCTGACATAAAATATCTTGGCTTATGTGGCAAGAGGCACTTCTGACAACTGCTGTTGGCGTCCTCAGCTGGCAGTTCACATGAACTGTCCAGGCTCTGAGTAAGGTGGATATTTTAGTGCACAGAATCTCAATCAAAGTGCTACAAACTGCTTCTTTGAAAAAAGATGTTTATTAAACAACTTTAATTGTCATAAAATGACTAAAATGGGTTTTAAAAATTAAGGCTCTTCTCTTTCTGCGGATTGCCAGAACAATGTAAAAATAATATCAATCAACCCTGCTAAATGCTTTGTTCCTAAAGTTAAATTTCATAGATTCCTAAACATTTTATGATTAAGGTAAAAAATTGGACTATAAATGACAATTAATGGCCATCTGTACTGAACACACACTCTGATCAGGTGTACAATATTCTAATTGAGTAGTTAAGCAAAAATATTCCAGTTAAAGCATAAATTTTAATTTTAGCATTTTAAAGTCATTGTTTCCCCACACTGTCATGATTTTCCTAAAATTGAAGTAATCTAATACAGGAACACTAACTTTGGGATGCTATATACTCCCAGGAGGATGACTGACTTGGCTGGCAATTAGTTTGATTATATTTTTTTAATGCTCTAAGGTAAATTATCAAATGATTCAGAATTACATGGCATGCAGTATCCAAAATTATGGCTCTGATGCATTTAGATTTACATTAAGAGTAAGAAGTGTCATTCACATTCATTGTACACCCCACCCCACCCACAAGAAAAAAAAATCACTACCTATTCAAGTTCTAGATCTGGTGCAGCATTAAGGATTAAAACTTACCACTTTACCAGGCCTTCCCCATGTGCAAATAAATCCCTCCTGACAAGCAGTGACTATACAGTCTTCAAGAAAAATTAATACAGTCAGTCTTTCATGTGCTATCTTTTTACAGATCAGCGGCTCTAACAAGGGAACGTCTTCCATTTGAGGACACAGGGGTGTTCCCAAAGTTTTAGCTGGGTCCGTTTTGGTTTTAGTAACTAGATTCAGTTTGTCACTGCTCTTGCTAGAAATGTGTCCCATGCTATGGTTTCGCTTGTGATCTTTCTCGTGGTGCCTCTCCTTCCGGTCATGTAGTGAAAGTGTTGCAAATTTGCTGACCCCAGAAGCAATGGCCCCATCCATGACACTGCTTTTACTGCCAGCATTTGAGACTGCTGAATGTGGAAGGCTGTTGGACCGTGGTAGAGGGGGGGGCACAGAATTCCCAGGCGTAGTGACACTGTTCCCATTGCTTCCAGCAGGAGGACTTGTGGCATTCATGACATTTGTGTGTGTCCTTGCTCTTGAGAGGGGTTGATGAGGGAAAAGAATGTCTTCTGTAAGGTCCCATAAACAGAGCTGGGTATCCTGGCCCACTGAACCAAACCGATATGTAACACTTACGGGGCGGCTATCTGTGGAGTTCCGTTTGGACAGCCTGGACTGTGTACTCTTTGCTCGATCTCTGCCAAAATGAAGAAGGTCTTGGAAGTCCTCATCACTGCCACTAAACTCCATAGGGTCGCTTTCTTCTACACTAGTGGTATAGGGATCAAATGCCACAACATTGACCCAGGACTTGTGCCCATGGCCTCTGGCTATGACTCGGCAGTCTACAAAGGACCAGACTGTCACCAAGTCGTCCTCGCCACCTGTCACGATGTACTTGCCATCCGGGCTCCAGCACACACACAACAAGCCCCCAAAGTAGCTTTTCATTGTACCGTGCAGCTCCACTGAGTCAAAGTTGAACACCCGCAGAAACCCATCCTGGCTCACACATGCTAAGAACTTGCCATCTGGGGAGAAAGCAAACTCGTTGAGGGCCCCCTCGCCCACCGTCCATTTAAGGAGAGGGTTCCTCGTGGATTTGCTCTTGCAAGTGTGCACAGCAAAGCTTTCTCCCTGCTTCAGAAGCTGGTAGTGGGGGGCTGTGGTGCCACAAGTGTGCTCCACATTATACAAGTACATGTTCCCACTCGAATGGGCTACTAGGAAAAGGCTTTCCGAACCGGGAACCCATTTGACACAGGTTACTCGTGACTTGTCTATTAGTCTCTGTGAAGACAAAGGAGAACAAGTTATCACAATGGAGAAGTTTTAAAGTCTACTTTTCCAGCAAGAAAACTTGTCTGTGTCTTGGTGAGAAGGGAAGAGTCCATCCACGCACTCCATACGTTATCCTGGGGTCAGCCAAGCCAGCGAAGAGCATTTTGGCCCCTTGCAGAATTATTTTCTAAAATTGCAATTAGGTGTTAGCCCATTGGCTTTCACTGAGGGAGTCAGAGTCATTCAACAATTATCTGTTGAGGGTCTACTATGTGCCAGACACTGTACCAGACGCCTGGATACACTGGTGGAAGATACAGCCTGTAGATACTCTTTCTTATGGCATGAGCATCTGAATCTGTAATTCACTGCATCTATGTGTGGCATCCTCTCTATGAGGACCCACAGGTCAAATCTCTCAGTCCTTACAGCCAGGAAAGCTATTCCTCACCCTCATAGGTTGGTCTGCATTTATTGTTACTGTAAGTCACATGCTGACTACATCTGCCCCTCTGCTTTGGCTGCTTGAAGGTGGGGAGTCCAATCTGCAGCCCACTGCTAGCAGCACACAGGACTCCAGAGCACATTTCCTGGGCTCTACCTCAGCCCTGGGTTCACTGAGGCTTTCTTGCTTGTATACGCTGTCCTGTGTGTATCTCTATAAGCATTTCCTCAAAATCCTCTTTGAAATGAGGTGATGTTTAAAGAAACTGATGATTAATGCAGGAGTATGCACTTATCACTATCATTCTACTTTATGCTAATTCTGGTTCCTTGACCCAGTTATTTCTTTAACAGGCATATATCAGTAGTCTTGCCTTTAAAACCGAAACAAAAGGCAAAAAGTACCCTCCCTCCCCTGCAAGGCACAAAAAGTCCCTTCCTTGCTTGCAAACCCTGCCATGAGGATCACCAGCACAACAGCTTCTACAACAGTGATCCTTCTCTGCGATGATCTCAAAATCACATCACCAGGCTCGGCACCTGTGGCTCATGCGGCTAAGGCGCCAGCCACATACACCTAAGGTGGTGGGTTCGAATCCCTAGCCAGGGCTCGCCAAACAACAATGATGGCTGCAACCAAAAAATGGCCAGGCGTTGTGGCGGGCACCTGTAGTCCCAACTACTTGAGAGGCTGAGGCAGGAGACTCGCTTGAGCCCAGGAGTTGGAGGTTGCTGTGAGCGAGATGCCACGGCACTCTACCCAGGGGGACAGCTTGTGGCTTCATCTCAAAAAAAAAAAAAAAAAAAAAAAAAAAAAAATCACATCACCAGAAAGCATCTAGAAGTTCCTGAGACATCCAAGTTCTGCCTGGAAACTCCTACTGCCAACCCTTTCTCCTGTACTATCACCCCAGTAACGGTGTCCCTAAGGGAGCCCCACAGCCATAAACACTACCACTTTATTTATCAGGTGGGGATTCCCTGACTCCAATCTCAAAGGAGCACTGGGACACACTGATGAAAATCCTGTAGGAAACATACTGCCTTCTAATTAGTTGGCTTTGTGGCCATGTATCTATTATCTGTGCTACATTTTTATAGAAAACCACAGGAACGAAATAACAAATTTTTTTAAAGGGCTGTTAAAGAACTGATTAATGAACCATGCAAGGTCATTACATGACAATTAGACCTTAGAAGAAGGTAGGTCACTAACAAATGGCCCCAGGCAGGGAAGAATGGAGGGCTAGAACTTTGCACAGTATGCAAGCCTAGGGCTCAGGGACTAAGGGTTGGGCGGAAGTTACTTAGCAGCAGGTATCACTGTTTAGCTGCCATAGAATGGCATGGCTGACCATCTTAAATTAATAACCATGTGGCAAGCCAGCCGTAGGGACACAGACATTTCCTCCCCTGCTTCTTTTCCTTCCTGCCTGGTGACCTGCCTATAAAAAACACCTGACCTGTGTTAATGCTGACAACCTAAAAACCTAGCACTATTCTGGCAGTATTTCCATTAGATCTTTACAATTTCTTTGGCAAGAGAAAAAGAAAAAAGAGGTTAGAAATAATTTACATAGCCAGGCCAACGTTTTTACTGGGGTGGGAGGGAGGGTGGTACAGGGATTGTGCTGATGGTGGGTTAAGAGGTCCCTGCTTCTTTATCACGGCTGTGGTTGGCTTGCTGTTTATAACCTTGCTGCACCCACTGGGCCCAGTCTGCACCAGCACTCCTGTTCCTACAAATGTGACTGTACCTGATGCCCCAGGTCTAAGGGTATCCAGGGCTCACACCTATAGGTAGCTTTGTAAGGTGGATGCACACATGCTAACTCAGGGTTGGGAGCCAAAATGCCCAATTTTTCCCAGATAACTTCACGGCTACTCTGTTTATCATGTTTCAAGAAATTTAAGGACATAAGAACATCTATCATTATGGGGTTAGAAGTACATTTTATTTGGGGCCTTAAAATAAATGCAACTAAAACATTCCATTAGAACTTTAAAACTGTTATACTATCAAGTAAAAATAGTATTGCTTTTCATTGATGAGGTATGAAGATAAATAGTTGCCATTATTAAAATAAATGTTACTGAGATGACAAAATATATTTAAAAACTGTATTCCCGTATTCCTGTATTCTGTATTCCTGTATTTATGGAAAAAACCTATCCCCATCTAATTTGACTGCCCTCAGGGGCACCCAATCAAACATTAGCGTTACATTCTGGACATACCAGTTTAAGCAACCACCGATCAAAAAATAAAAAAGGACCTTGGATCTGGCTTTAATGCTGTAAGGATTTCTCACTTGTTCACTCCTGTCAGTTTGTCCTACCAAGATCATGCATTTGAAGGCAGGGATAATGTGTGCTTCATCTAGAGTACCCTGGGTCTCAGCAACACTGAAGGCACATGGCTGGCACATGAGGCTCAATGTCTGCAACCACATTGACAACATCACTGCCACTTCTACTTCCAATATGAGCCTCTACTGCAGGTGCCAGGCCCTGCTTTAGTCCCATGCTCTCTAGTCCTTAAAATAACACTGCAGGCTCGGTGCCTGTGGCTCAAGCGGCTAAGGCGCCAGCCATATACACCTAAGGTGGCGGGTTCGAATCAAGCCCAGGCCCGCCAAACAACAATAATGGCTGCAACCAAAAAATAGCCGGGTGTTGTGGCGGGTGCCTGTGGTCCCAGCTACTTGGGAGGCTGAGGCAGGAGACTCGCTTGAGCCCAGGAGTTGGAGGTTGCTGTGAGCAGTGAAGCCATGGCACTCTACCCAGGGGGAAAGCTTGAGGCTCTGTCAAAAAAAAAAAAAACACTGCAAGGTTTATACAGCAGAAAGCCTCACTCATGCTTTTCTCCTCCATTCCATATCCTCTGTCCTCAGTCACTATTAGCTTGTTCACCTCTCCAGAGTGTTTTCATGCATGTATAAGCCAAATACAGATACAAATTCATATACTTTTCCTTTTTCCTACCAAAGGAAACATACTACACACTGTCTAATCTCTGCTTTCTCATTCAATAATATATCCTGTATATCTGTCTGCATGAGCACAAGGAGCTTCTTTTCTAAAGCTGCAGACTATTCATTTACATAGATATATTATATTTTATTGTAAAAGTTCTCCTAAGGGGACATTTAGTAAATGATGAATAACCTTGTATACAGGGCAGTTTTCACATGAATGAGTAGTACACCTGCAGGATGAATTCCCAGTGGAGTAACTTGGGTCAAAAGGTATACATATTTATAATTTTTACAGATATTGCCAAATTGCCTCCCATGAAGAAGGTAAAGAAAAAATTCCTACCAGCAATATAATAGTGCCTGCTTCTCTAAAGGAAGAGAGGAATTCATTGTTACATTACCCATGAGGAAATGGTTCAGAGAGGTCAAGAAACTTTCTTGAAGTCCCACTCATTCATTAATTCATTCATGCAGTACTGAGCACCCTACATGCCAGGCATTGATCCAATACTAACTGAAACAGACACCCCTCTACACGGAGTTTATGTTCCAGTGGGATGGGTAGGTAAGGAAAATTTATATGACCTGATGACAGTAAGTGCTGTGGAGAAGAAAGCAAACAGGAGAAAAAACAAAGTGCTGCAGGAGAGGGATTGTAATGATTTCAATCTTAACTAGGACAGCTGGGACAAACTTTTCTCTGGTGGTGGGGACAGCTATATAAAAACTGGAAGAATGGAAATGGAAAAAATCAGGCTAAGGGTATGTTTGAGGAAGTACATCCCAAACAACTACTACAAAAGCCCTAAGGCAGGCGTGAAGGAAGCTCATCAGAAACACCACAGGGAGCCAGTGCCAGTGGAACAGACAAGGCAAGATGCAAGATGAAGACAGGCCCATAGGACCCCAGAGTGAACATGTGCTGCCTCTGCCCTACAGACAATCATCCATGAGTGCTGAAGACCGGCCTGCCAGGACCAACAAGAGTTCTTAGGAAAAAGGTGCCAAACTACCTCAGGGCCCAGGCCCAGGTGGGAAGCATAACTGTAGGGCAAATTGGTAGACGGTCATGTATTTTAAATTGCTCTGGGTTATTATTTGGATAGAGTTTAACAAAAGAGAAAGAGAACAGAAAGCATTTTACTCCTGTCTTTCACATTAAGAAACAAATAGCTAAAATATTTAATTCAATAAATACAAGAATAAAAATTATGCAGCCAGTTTCTGTACCATAAAGGTAAAGTATATTTATTCCAGAAAATATCTAGAATAAAAGAGACTCTTAGTCAGTGGTAAATGTTAGTAATGGGATTCTCTGCTGGCTTCAAAATACATCTACATGAGCCTATTAGAAAAATACCCAGCATCCTGCTGAAAAGCTCTTGCATAGAAAGGTGGGGCACAGAGAGGCTGGGATACAAAGATGCAATGCTTGGAGGAACAATTCAGCAATGCTAAAGGCAAGACAGTCCAGAGGGATCTAAGCAAGTGCATGGCACCAGTGTTGGCTGGAACACCAGAGTAGGGATGGGGAATTGGGTCTGGAATTGTAAGCTGGGACTCAAGGCTGTGAAGTTCCTGGCCTGA